AGTGCCCCCTCTCATAGTCTAAAGCAAGGAACACCATTTTTACACTTACATTTCATTCTTTGAGTCATGAGTTCTAGGATGACTGACCTGGTCTGGCTGGAGTAAATTTCTACTTTTTGCACATGCCACAATGTATTCCGCACATGAATGGAAAAAATTAGAGGGGAATATTGCCACATATCCAGCCCTCCTCCCCTTTAACTAGTTGCTTAAGCCTGTGATTGCTGGGATCATCTCTGGAACCCTTTTTTAAAAATTAGCATCTTCCAGTCATTTGGTACAGAAACGGATTTTTAAATGATGAGATGCTACTGTCTGTGGTTTGTAACCTAAGTTCCTAATAGTGTAAATACACCACTTTATTACTGTTAATTTGTAAATTAATGTTACATGTAGCAAAACTAGAAGTACTAAAAAATTATGGCATTCCTATAACCCCCACTGGAATGGGTTGAGCTTATGATGAAAGTCAGTGCTGCTACTTTCCCCTCCGTCTTTCTACCTTGCCCCTCTCCTTCACTCAGGGTGGTGGGAGCAGATGGGAGAGAGAGGAAGGCCCAAACCCCACAGAGCGCCTTGGCTGGGGAAGGATGCCAGCCTGATGGTCTTCTAGGGGCATAGCTGGTCCTGTTCCCAGTCTCTGCACCTCTCTGCCTATGGGGGAAGGACTTGCAAGATTAGTATGAATAATGACACTGGAAATAAAATGTTAATGTTTTTCATATTTGTTTAAACAGTTTCTAAATCCATCCCAATTTCATACAAAAAAATGTAATTAAACCCTGGTAGTTATAAGCAATGTGAAGAATAAGAAAGTGTCATGGTTGCCTTTTAGTGGCTGGTGTTTTGGCCAGCTCTATCTTTTGTAAGGCACGTACCAGGGCTCCCTGCAGCTAGGTCACTTTCCCCACCTGGGCTGTGCTGGTACCCGTTTCTTACACAGGTCAGGCAGGGAAGTTACCTAGATGTGGGAGCCCTTCAGTTGCTCCTTGCTCCCCCCATAAAGATGTGATGCATCCAAGTTAGTTTTCCCATGTGGGTGCAGAAGGACAGGGAATTAGGAGTGCAAGAAGGGGAGCAGGCTTTTGGGGTGGTATTCCCTGTAAGCTGTGCACTTGTGTGGTCATTCAGGAGATCAGCACAGCACTCACACCTAGGTTTTGTGTTTCTACGGGTAGTGCACATTCACCCATGCATTGGTGCATGTAAAAATGTATCCTGCAAAGAGATTGAAAAAGATTAGAGGGAACATTGCTTTGGGGCAGCAGGAGGGTATGAAAGCCAAGGGTCCCAAAATGTAAGTTTGCCCAGAGTGCCATTTTCCCTTAGGCTGCCTATTTCCCAACCCATTACCCAGAAAGCTTGGCTCCTTGACGTTGAGCCAATGAGAGCTATTGTCACAACCACTCTTCAGCCTCCTTGCAGAGGGAATAGGCAAGGTGCTTGAGAGTAGGCACTTAGAGGCCAATTCCAGGTTTGAACAAAGCACCCCCATTGGCTACAGCCATGACCAATAGATTTTCCCTTAGGCTGCCTATTTCCCAACCCATTACCCAGAAAGCTTGGCTCCTTGACGTTGAGCCAATGAGAGCTATTGTCACAACCACTCTTCAGCCTCCTTGCAGAGGGAATAGGCAAGGTGCTTGAGAGTAGGCACTTAGAGGCCAATTCCAGGTTTGAACAAAGCACCCCCATTGGCTACAGCCATGACCAATAGGAGAT